GCTTATAATTTTTCATCTCACCATGTGACACCTCTTTCCATAGCTATATATGGATATGCATTCTCAGTACATATTATATTGTGGTGCTTGGGAATATGGCTATGTAACTATTAGCTATCACTTCTGTGAAGACCAATGCAGCATTTTCCTCCTCAGAAGTTGGGACCAACCTCTGTGATTCACCTGCACCTCTTCTGGGTCAGGAAACCAGAACCTTATACCGGTTCCTGAATCTCCCAGTTGCATGGAAAATGTAGCATTGCAGCTACCACCAGCATGAGCTCAATCAATCCATCCCATTTCTGAAGGCTAATTAAAAAGAAGAAAGGTAATGACAGAACAAACAGAGATGTTGTTACTTACACCATATAGCTCTGTGCGAATTCTAACAAAACACCTCCTATACCAAGTTCCTGTATCACTCTCTATTTCTATGAGTTCGTCTATCTGCTTTGGAGTTTTGATTCTGTTAACCTAGAAATAAAAACAGAACAGCAAATATTTGCATTTTCTTGAATCATTAACTGCCTGTCGAGGAGTATTGGAAGGTTTTAATAAATCCCGTAAACTAAAAATGAGCAGATATTAAACCTGTGTCTGCACTAGAAATGTTTTAGAAACATAAAGGAATAGTAGCACACTATAACATAAAGTTCATTATGGATGTAACTGTATTAGAAAAGCTCTACTTTCAAAGCATGCAGGAAATCCATTTCCTCTGACTGAAACAAGCTGTTACTGTCAGTTTCTGCTAGAGTGTTGCTGTACATACCCCTAATGCCACAAAGGATAACACATGATTTAAACACTCCGTTAACCATGTCCAGAGTTTGCTTTCAAGTTGTTTCTGACTTGCTATCACAACATTGTTGAAAGTCTATTGATTAAAGATACAGTAATAAAAGTTCAAAATGTTAAGAATCAATAGCTGAATAACATTTTTCTTTTGTTCTTATTTCCTGTAGTGTTAGATAGGGAATTCTCTTTGTCTTTTGAATGTTAACTTAACTATCCTTTTTAACGAAGGAAGAAGAAGTTTGGTGAAATGATCTGGAACCACACATGTTATTGCTGTTATAAGCAATCATCTACTTCATCTAAAGTGAAATGAGATAAACAGACATCAGGGAAAAATACAGAATTACCAGTGACAGAGAATGTGATATTGCCTACAGTGTTAATTTTCACTTGCACTCTCCTGCGTAGCAGAACAATAATGTGTTACATGGTCTTTCCAGACACAGGACCTGACAAGCTTATACCATTGTATGGTTTTGGTTTTGGCTTCAGCTCTGGTGCCAGGTTCATAGTGATATCACAAAAGGCAGTGTATTCATCACAGTTTATTTAGAAAGAAGACAAACAGAGAACAGAAAGAAAATAAATAAAATGGGGAAAGGAAATGACATATAAGGAGGGAGAGAGCAAGAGTGTTAAATGTTTGGCTGCAGTTTCTGAAGACAGCAATAGCTTGTGTTTCTTCTTAACAGAATGAGAACATCACCACCCACAGATGTATCATAGTGCATTACAGGACATCAGGGAATAGCAGTATTGATGGTAAAGCTCTAGTTTTCAGCCCACTGCTTTTGCAGATGTACACTGTTTAAGATTCACCAGCAGCCTCATCCCATGAACAAAACCAAATAAAAGCCCACTAAGCAGTTTTAGCTATAACCACCCTCATTTCTAAAATACTACAGCTTGCCAAACCATGACTATATCAAAAGCCTGTACCCTTCTCGTCATGTCCCTTTCAATAGCGATAATCCTGTCTGCATCATTCCATTGATTTTAAGCTTCTCTTAAACTGCTTTTATGAAACGTTATACAAAAGACTGAGTTGAGTCCTCCAAGATTATTTAAGACCTTGTACATACAGACATCCTCACGTGCCACACCTCCAGGCAGAAAGGGCATGCACTTTGAATCATGCTATATAAACCAGTACCACTCTTGTAGGCTCAGGGGCAGCCTTTTCACTGTCCTGGCCACCTGGCTCATTTGGATCTCTGGAGGTTGGGGAAACATGTATATATCCTAGGAGCACTGTATGTGACTGGGGACAAAAAGACCCTGGCCTTGATGGTTCTTTAACATAAGAAAAGTCCTATTGAATCAGGACAATGGTCCATCTGGACCATGCAAATTCAGCTGTCAGTCTACGAAGAATGAAAGCAAAAAAACAATAAAGAATACCTATTTTAATGAAAATGCAACTTCTGTTTAAAAGAAATGGTTAGAATTATGCAATGTTTTAAATTTTACAAAATCAAGACATGCTGCAAAGGAAAATGTTTGCAGAAAAAAAAGATTAATTAATACATGGCAATGAAAGAGTGGAGAGAATTTTGGTTTTAAGGATACAAAGATTTTTTTTTTTTCCTTAAACATTTAAACCAACAGATCTAATGAATCTATATTTTAAGGACCCAGGAAGGTAATTAAGCATGTACATAAACGTTTAACTTGGGTAGTCCCATAATAGACGATACTATCGACTTACTGCCGTCTCTGTTAGTGTCACTGCTGTCAGGAGAGATTTTCAAAAGTATTAAAAGCCACCACCTCCACAGTCAGTAACTAGAATACATTCATTTTGGAGTTTCTAACTCTAAAACCAACTGTTCATCAGTTGATGCTTTCTCTGTTTTAAAGATTTGAACGCAAAATCCTCAATAACATGAGTAACAAGAATAAACGTGACTTGTGAAAAAAGCTTCTAGGAAAAGATGACATCAATATCATTAGGAAAACATATAAAAGGAAAGCACACTAAAACTATAGCAGTAATGGAGAAAAAGTTACATCAGCTGTAAAGTTAGAAAACATACTATCAAAATGTATCTGATGTAACTGCTGACATGAAGTGGAGGAAAAGAGTAATGCATAAGTCATCGAATGGTACTGGCTGAAGCAACAGGGTTTAGGAGAGCTATGTGAATAAATTACTTACTTAGACAAAATGTCACAATATCCAGGACTAACTTATATTAAAAAAAAGAGAGACTACAAGGATGTGCCAAACAAATTATTCGTAAGTTCTTTGCTTTCTGGGTTTTATAAGATATTGTCCAATGAGGAGACAATGATGCATTTTTCTAATTACATTAATGCAAGCTAAAAATAGGGACTTCTATACATGTGTAACCTTGACAGTACAGTACAGTATTTCTAATCCTTCAACTCCTCGATATCTGGAGTTGAGTCTTCCCAATGTTCATGGCAGAAACTAGCAAAAATCCCAAGAAAGTGGTGTTTTTTCCTTATTCATGCCTTATTCATGGCTGACCAATTAACACAAATAACTATAAATAAAGTGCTGAGTTCAACGTGGTTCAGTGTAACATTTTAACAACCGTAGAGAGAAAGACTTGTTAGATCACAAGAACTGGAAACAACAAGCACGTGCTTTGTTTTCTTCTCCACGGCTGCTTTAGGATGTGATTATGATTATGTCAAACTGATGTGAGACTGTGGCTGATCCTTCCTCCCACCTTTGGTCCCAGCACATTTCTGTCTTCTTCCTCGTGCCTAAACCAACACCGTAGGGGGGCAGGGTCTGTGCTATGGCTGACTGTGCAATCAGTCAATGAATATCAAGGCTGCCAGAAGAAAAACAAAGAGTGACCAGGGGCAGGCATACTCTGCCTGAAAGCAGCTCAGATCAGCAAGAACCAATTGTGAAATTACACCCTAGCTGTATGGTGTTAGGCAAATCCCTTTACTTGTAAATGAAATCAGAACATAAAACATTAGGTTAGATGGGATTAGGGGTAGGTCACCGGTGTATCAATAAACGTGGATTTAACATGATAGATGTACTAACCAGCACCTTTTCAGGCTAAATATAGGAGTTCTTGAGCTTCTGTGTGGAAAAAATTAAATGGAGGCAACAGAAACTACATCCAAGGCAATAAACTACAAGTCTCAATGGAATAAAGTTATATGGTCAGATGGTCATTCCCAGAGACTGCCTGCAAATGCAGAAGCTTTAAGAGGATTTCTTAATTGACTTACATGTGCATTAAAGTAAGAAGAAAGCCTCTGGAAGAGGAAAAACATCCTACACATGGCTCCAAGAGGGAGCAGAGTGCCAGCACTCCCATGGTACAGCACAAGCTGGAGAAGCAGACTGGATTTCAACACAAGAAAACACCTTCTGCTGTTTGGTCCTACTGTATCCACGAAGACAAAATTATTGTGTATATCCTTCATAAATAAGGAAGATGCCATAAATAAGTCCCACATGTGACTTGCCAATTTCTTCTCCAAATAGAAACAACCGATTGATACTTTGAATAAGGCCTTATCATTAGACATGCAAGTCAACAAGATGCAGTTGAGCTTCCAAGATATTTTGAGAACTTTAAATGTCCGAAATTACTGTTTCACAGAAGTGAAAATGAATTTGTAAAAATTATTATTTTTGCTGATAAAAATGAAAAAAAAAATGTCAAAAGCTTTAAAGACACAACAGCCAACTAATTTGGACTTCTATGTGCCTACTGTTATTATTAAGGGTGAAGTAAACTTAGTAAATAAAACACAGATGGAGTCTATTAAGTACATTAGTACACCAGAGAAAATTATCACACTGTGGGTTCATACACTCAAGAATATGCTGGCCAAAGGTTGAGATCTTAACATCTGCTATATATATATAACAATTTCAGTAGGAATTTGTTTCTTGTATTTAGAGTGCAAATGATTGGCTTTGTCACGCAGAGTATTAATATTGATTGTTTAAGCCCTCCATACCCTGCCAGTCAGCAAGCTTGATGATGTGCTAAGTGATTAGCTTTAAAAGCAATACTCACTGTGAAGACTTTCTCAGGCTGACCACGAGCTCGCATGTTTGTGTCATGAATTTGCTTGAGTATCATCCAAGCTTCATCATGTTTTCCAACCTAAACATTTGATTAAAACATTTAAACAAAACGTATATACAGATAACATATTCGCTATAGTCACTGAACAATCTTAATGCCTGTCATATAGAGGTCATGATGTAAAAACAGAAATAATTTTGACTGGAATCTAAAAACTGTTTGGAAAGTTATACCTCCAGCAAGAACCGTGGGCTTTCTGGCATAAAGGTGAGGGCTACCACGGAAGAGACACAGGGCAGTGCACAGACGATCACAAATACCCGCCAGCTGTGGAACTGGTAGGCAGAGCCCATGCTGAAACTCCATCCTGTGAAAGCAGAAATTCACAAAATGTGAGAAATAAGGAGTATTGTACATGGGCATCTGCAGCTTCTTGGAGATGCAAAACGATACCTGTATTTAAATGAAGCCTGACTGATCTCTTCTATTTCCCACAGGGATAAGGAAGCCTCTTTCAAATCTCATAGCAAAATCTGCATGAAGGTAGTTACATGAACCAAACAGGGTCACCATCACCATACATAAGAACACTTATCCAAAGAAATAGATTTCTATGAATACTGGAAGAAGGGAGAATTAAAAATCTACACTCAGATGATGTATTTTATGGAATTTTACAGCCTTCCTTATTAGCTTTTTCTACAAAGAGTTAATTTCAGTACCCTTAATAAGAGTCTCCTATTGTAATACAGTGCAACACATAAGGCATATACAGTGCCTAACTTCTGTTTCCATCTTCTCAAGAGCACTATACCACTCCTTAAATTCTGTTAAAAGTAAACTGACACTCATCCCCCTTATCCCATAACTAGATGTACAGGAAAAAATATTCAGCATTTAAACTTCTATCTGAGATGAGCAACATAGAGAGAGAATTAATGATTATATAAAGAGATTAAGAAAAAAGAACAACAGGAAAACAGCTCTCCTCATCTGAAAAATTGATCTTGAGTTACATCTGAGTGCTGACTAATAACATGCTGTAGAGGCCACTGTTAAAATATATTGTGAAGAACACAAAAGGAAATACTGGAAAACCTGTATATGAAACTGCAGGGCTGGTAGTTCAGCTTTTTAATAAAATATCTGATTGTTTGGTATATTGTGACTGGACTATTGAAATGCTAGAATTGTAAGAAACCTGAGAATTTCTCTTAAGAAAGAGAAAAATATTATTTGGTTAACTACTTGGCCTTTTAGTCAGGCTTCAATACAGCAGAAATTTTCAAGTAAACTTTTGAAGGATAACTCATTAAAAGATGAGTGGAAGATAAGAATAATGATAAAGGACAGAAGAGGTTACTGGAAGAAAAAGGAATCCTGACTAATGAAAGAGCTGACACTGGATTAATCTGATATATTTCTTTGCTAACTGATTTTTCTAGACAAAACACATGGTTAATTAAACCTGCCTAGATGTCAGTAAACAACTGGTACAACATGGTACCAAATGGCCTATTAAATAGTTCTTCAAAGGAGGTATTTATCTGTTAAATGTATAGCATATTTTGGAATTTAAAGATCTCATGCTGTGGATCATAAATCCATTCTTGGGAAAAAAAAATCCCTTTTCATATTCAAGTACTTACATGTTACCATATGAAAAATACAGTCAACCCATGATTTATTTTTGCCCTTTATCAACAGCTCAGTGAAATATTTTGATCTGCAGACTCGGGAACCTGTTTTTTCTGGTCTCCTACAAACTTTCTGTCTTTCTGAAATGATATCAGCTTGCTCTACAGCCTCATTTAGCCCTGCCATCTTTACCCCACGAAGACAGAGGTAAAATCGATGACAGTATTGGCAATGATCTTGGAATGCCATGTTACTTTTTTTTAAGTAAGGCTCCAGATAAACATACCTTCCCCCTCCAAAGTTCCCTCCAACAAAAACAGGCTGTCTAAAACTTAATGTTAAATTTTATTCCAAAATAAAACTTGGAATGAAAATTTAAGAACGAAAACTACAAACAGAAATGCTTGTAAAATGTACTAAAATTTACTTTTTACTGATTTTTGGAAAATGTCAACTTTTGGTCTTATGGCATTTCAAATCGTAAATAATATGGGCACACTTTACAGTTAAACTCTGCAGGGAAGGAAATAAGGTGAGTTAATGAGGCAATTAGAAACCATACCTGTGTTTTGGGTATTGTGTACACATTCTATTGTAATCATTAGCATCGTATTTTTCATTATATATTCTAAACCATAGTACAAAATCATCCGATACAGAACTAGCAAAATTATTTCCTTTTTGTTACGTTAATTTTCGGTCAGAGCAGCGAGCTGATCTGACTCACTGGGCAGCCATGCAACTGCTAGTGCCACAGGGAAGGTGGCACAGGATGGGGGTTTTCGTCTCTCAGAACAGCAGGGTCAAGGTACTGGCTATTGTTGTCATTAGAAACTGTCCCAGAAATACACAGAGCCACTGGTATATTTAGACAATCTGCCTTTCACTGCTCTGGTTTATGCTTTATGAGATTGAGCTGCACAAAGGGCACTTCCGCAGTAAACGAAATCAGCCTGGCTTTATTCCTGTTATAAAACAACAGCAACATCTTGTGCTCAGTAGCCAGTCCTGGAAAATGCTGGTGATATAATTTATTTCAAGGTGTCATTTATTAATGTAAAAGTGAGCCATACTACACTTAATTAAAAACCAACGAGTGCCCCGTTCATCCTGCTGTCATCCTAACAACCTGCAAAACATCTTTTTTACTCCTCAAAATATCTGAGGGGCATGTCAAGTGAAATGTTCATTATGCCTTTTATTGCTCTTATTCCATCTTTTTCTCTATGTGTTGTCTTAGCTGCTGCAATTTATCTTGTGATTTAACATATCTGTTCAGTTAATGGTAATAGTGAATGTCAGGATTACAAGAAGCAATTGGTAGAAAAAAAGGCAGCTGCAACACAGCTTTTTGAGGCTGCTCTCCTGTCTATTCCAGCACCAGCACTAAATCAGCAAAACAAACATATATTTTAAATGCAGAGCAAGTTTAGATTTATTCTTATGTTTAACACATCCCATTTTCCTAGGTCATGAGCTAATCTGGAAAATGGAGCCAGTAGAGTAGCTCTGAATTTAGCTCACAAAGTGGCTTTCATTCCTATTGTACGTAAGTCTTGAAACCAAATGGAAGTGTGTTCTTGGCTGTAATTGAACTTACTTCCCCCTTCCCTGATTTATGACACAGTAGCAAAGACAGAGCAGCTCTACATGGTTGCGTTCAGAGCATTGCACAGCAACCTAGAGCTAAACTTCACCCTTGCTCCCTGGCTATGCCATATTTGAGAGTCATTAATCTTGAAAACGGTGGCAAGTTCCAATGTTTTATGAATTGCTAAAACACTGGGCCCAAATGCATCTTGGGAATTATGTGCTGTAGAGCAACATAAAACCCTCAATGACTGAATCTGAAGCTGCTGCAGCAACCTTTGTGCTGAATACCACCCTCTCACTTTACTGACTGCTGGAAAAGTCCAAGTGAATCACAGACATGGCAATTACTGATTACAGTGGTAATTACTGATTACAGAAACACAGCAGCATGAAGCAGAGCAAAACCAAAATGTACAAGACACTAATCTATATCTAATCACCAATTTATATGTTGAATTCAATGTCAACAAAATCTTCCCTCCCAACACAGCATTTCACCTGCTTAATATTAATAAATTAAAAGGATATTATAAACAAGTTCTTGCTCCAAAGGAGAGAAAAGAGCATTCTGTCAAAGATTTTCTGAATAAATATAGAGATAAACCTGTCCATATTATGCTGAATTTTATAAATGTGTATTACCTGATAAACAGTAGGTATCTTCAAGGACAAGGATTATCTTTTACAGTGGCTAGGACTAGAGAGCAGACTAATGGGGGTGATTTGCTTAACTTCCCAAAATGAGGGCTGAAAGGGAACATGATATCTCTCTGCATATCCATAAAGGTTACACTAAAGTGCAAAGTGGGCAATGAAAAATATCAGTCCCTACAGACTCTGTATAAATACTGGCAAGGAGAAGCTTTTAAATACCAGAGGAATAAAGTTGTGAAACACCTTTCTAAGAAATTAATGTGGGCAAAGAAAGGCTAACCGCATATAGGGATTTTATGGCATGGTTAGCTAAAGACTGACCATTCTTGATAACAATTTTTGTTAGTCATTCAGTAGGAATCAGAGGAACTAGATTGATGGTAGTGTCAGGAGTTGTCAAAAGCCAAGTTTGCATAAACTTCTGTTTTTTGGTAGATCAAAGGAGGGAATAGATGCAAGAATACCCCTAAAATTAGGGGCGGAGGAGAAAGATAGCCAAGGAATTTGTAGGAATTCATAGACTCTCTAGATTCTTCTGCAGAATATTTTATGTGATTTTATAACTTTTATTATTTCTGTTTTGCCATCTTTGGTCAGAACTCAGCTTTCTAGCCTCAATTTTCAATGTTCCAGGTTTGAAAAATTTCCAGTAACGAAGATGTGTGATTTCTCTAAATTGCCACGTGGTGGCACTGTCACCGCACTTAATACAAACAAGTTCCATAGAAAGACTTCTACTATTAAATATTGTTGTTTTGTTGAGTATTTCCCAAATCTAAGCTAAATCAAAATTATAAGGAGGACTGAAAATATTTTGCAGCTGGCAGAACTGAAATACATTATTATTGCACTTATATTTAGTCTGTACTGGGATTACCAAGTTTAACTGTGAGCGATATCCAGGATTTGAGCCCATATATTATATCATACTGATTAGAATAACAGTAAAACTTTACTGAGACCGAAAAAAAAAAAAATAGTTCAGGTAAGTTATATAACTGAGGAAGCTCAGTCAGACATTTTTACAAGACTGAGTGAAATATGTGATTTCTAACAAATGCAGAAATAATGTTTTCAGAATTATTCTGTAATTGTATTAATGTGAAATTCCAGTGACACGAAGTAGAACACTTGTCTTTCCTGTGATTAGACTATTAATATCACATGGGAAAGGCAGTGTTATTTTTAGCCTATATAGATAGTTAGATACTCTACAAACACACTGGCTCAGCAGGTCAGCTGCTGGTAATTTCTGCAGAAGGAACCTGGAAATAAAATAGCTGAAGTGTGGCAGGCCATGATAGAGGTACCTTAACAAAGGTGCCTGCAGAAGACTTTCTCTCATCTGCATCTGCCTGGCTCTCTAGCTGATGCTATCAGTCCCTGGGAGCCATGAGGATCAACAGTTCAATGAAAGAAGAAAGTAATAGTATTAAAAAGATATATTTCACAAACACATTAAACTCAGACTTGGTCTGCTGA